ATTCCGGGTGTCTCTAATCAGACTCTTAAGTCTAGGTGCGCATAATGTTTCGCTCAGGTTGAAAATTCCAGTTTTTTCGAATCACCCAGACTGACTTTATTGTCAAACAATTAACTTTATGTAGACATTAATATTCTACCACTAATTTCCAATTAAAATTGTGACTCTTAAAATGCTAAAAAGTTATATTCTGGTTCATCAGCTGCGGTGCGTGCTACTGATTATTTAGTGATTTCACTTTAACTTTTTCTGGCCTTAAATCAATCGAACTCTTGTTCTGCGTGTGAATTTTTCTGTTTTATCAAGTTTCAGTGTCCTTTTCAATCTCATTGAACTTTTGGTCTTTTTTTTTTTTTTTTAGAACGTCAGATTTCAGCATATCTGTTGTAAAACAAATAAAAACTTGATCTAATTTTAAAAATTGCTGACTCCATAATACACTTTATAAAAATCATTAAGTTGTGAATAAAATAAAAACTTGTGTAAACATTAAATATACTGTGCCTGAATGAAATCAAATCCAATATATTTGTCACTAATGTTACAATTTGTACAAAAAAGCCCACTGAACCTCCTTTCTTTCCGTTTGTTTATCATTGAATGAAACGGGAACCTTTGAAAGTAAACATTATTGAATGTTTAATGTAGATTATTTCGATTAGTTGCTTCACATAAACCTGGTGTAAAGTTAAAGCACGTGGAGACTAAATGCCACATGGCTGTACACACGGTGCCATAATTAATAATCAGTAATTAGAGTTGTTTATGCACATTGTCCTTGGAGCGTTCGTATTTGAAATTATAGTAGTTTTTCATTTAGCTTACCTCCTAGTTTCTAATCAATACTTTAGCAACGTCAGTCGAAACGTTGACAGAAATCCTCCTTACCGCCTTTATAATAACTTCAATAAGAACACCTTTCAAAAATATACCTATTAATAGTATACAGTTTTGTGTACTGTTGGAGGTCCTCTTATGGTGTATTAACTCGTATTTGGGAGCTGCTAAAATTATGTACAGAACTTGGTGTTTGCATTTAAAGTAATTAAAGTAGTTTTAAAAAGTTGGAACTAAATATTTTTACAATATTATTGAATCGTTACGATCACATTATAGAATTATTTTTGCTGATGGAGTTGAAACTGAGCTAGAGTTGTTTAAGCCTATTAAATTTGCTTTTCGTACATCTCGATTAGTCACTTCATTTCTAAGATATTTTCTTCTTATTTTTTATAAGAACGGAACATGGTAGGACTTTTATATTATTCAAAGCCCATTATCCGTTTACTTTAATATCTTTCTTTTTTACGTACGTGTCAAATCCAGATTGGAGATACTTCTGTTGAAAATAAATACCCTAGCATTAAAGGAATACTAAAAGTAATGGGGAAACTAGGTCCTTATTAAACCAAAAGGAAATTTAAACTTACGACATTCGGTACAGTTCAGTTGGTTAAATATTATGGCTGTTGGTTGAAAAAAAAATTACAGGCTTTCTAGGTTAATGTGCTATCACTGTAGTATATGTCTAGTTGCAATGCGTGACGGATTTGTTATTATATATTTATTTAAATATTGACGTTTATTTAGATTAAATTTATATTTAGAAACATATATAGCTTATACTGTTAAATATGCATTGTGAAACTCCCGCCTATTCTCTAAAGCTGTAGAAGATTCTCGAGTGTAAGAATCAACAATATATGTGTGTACGTAAACGCTAGAGTAGCTTTGTATTTTTACATAATCTGAATTTTCTAGAAACTCTCCACACGCTTATAAATATAACCAGCGCGATGCGCCAAAAAAGTAGTATCTATTATTGGTTTGCTATAAACTTTGGAAGCTATAACTGTGATTGTTATAACACTTATTAATCGGAAAATTTAAGATATTTGACCAGGAACATTTATAAATTTCGAACGTTACAAATCATTCAACTTCAGTGGATTCACATCGGACATCAGTTCTTTTATGAGAACATTACCTAATGTCACCAGTAGGAAAAATCTGCGTGTGGTCAGTGAATTTCACAGAGCTAGCTAACTTCCTATTAAGTGAATTATATCTACTCGAAATTAACTCGCTCATCGTGAACCCTCGATAAGACATCAAAGAAGTTCCAGCCTAGAAAAAAAAACCTGTATATTGCTTGTGGGTTTGTAAAACTTTTGTATATAAATCATTGTTTGTAATAACTATTTGTAATAACTGTTATTGTATTGTATTGTTGTTTATATATTAAAACATATTTGTATTTAAAAAAGAAACACTGTGTATCAGTCTTGTTGGCAAATATCATAAATTGGATACATGTCGGCATTTATTTAACTACTAAATTTGAAGTATCATTTAACTCAATTTCGGGCTATTTGAAATTCTAATACGTTAGAAATGACAACATTGTTATTATTATTAGGTTATCAAGACACGTTTTCGTATTTAGTAAGATACTATTTGATGCGTGAGCCAGTGCAGTTTGTAACAACGTGCAGGTTATTAGGGATGTGATGAAGGATATTGGAACTTCCTTTACTTTCGTGATACAACACTTTTAGAAAGCAGTGAGTTGGCAATTGGTATCGAAAAGGTTGAGAAACGCTGATGTACGGGATAAAGAGAGTGACGTTTGATTTCAGATTTTTGATATGTTTGTTTTTGTATAATTACTTTAACAACTTATACAGTCCATTGTGTTATTTTCAAATATATTAGAGTAAAGGTGAACGAAACAAAAGACTTTGTTACTTTTACATTCTCCTATTTACCATTTGTTTCTCGTTATTGGTTTGAGTGGATTTATACATATTTTTTCTTTGGAGTATTTTATTATACATTTGCCTTTAAGTTCAAATCTATTATTTCAAGCGATTTAAGTTACACTATGGGCTATGTATCCTCTGACCATCACAGGTAACGAAATCCTATTTTTAATGTTACTAGCAGAAATACCCGCCCTCCGGGTAGGTATAACTGCTAGTTCCTGCGGAAGGCTATTGGGCCTGCGGATTTTTATGGAATTGTCTGAAAGTTCTTCAACAATGTACTTATATTTGACATTCAATAATGTTCACTATCCATGAGAAAAAAGATTTGATTGAAATTTTAGTTTAACAATGACCCATCATCACAGCAGTACACCACAGAGTAGATTTTATTGAAGTATTTTTCTGTAGACGCAGTTATCAATGAAAGTGCCTTGCTTTTCTGTTGCAACACTCATGAGATTTTTCACTAAAGAAATACAAATATTTTTTAAGTTTGTTTTTTGATTGTTTTATATTTGAAACTTACTCTTTTTTGTTTGTAATTTTTATTGGTTAAATCTGAAACATACAATTTTTATGGAAATTTCAACTGTTTATTTATTGCTTAGCTATGAAAATACTGCCTAGTTATAAAAATATTACCCAGTTATTATTGGTAGTTTCCGAGATCCGAATTTTGGACATATACATCGCAAGCGCTATTAAAATAAGATAAGTTCTTAGACTTGCCAATAAGTTACCGGGGAACGCTACACTATTGTTAGTTGTTTTTTTTTACCATGTATTTTAACTTAAAAAAGATTAAACTGTTTCATATCATTTTACATTCTAAGATTGTGTGCACTTTGAAGTGCGAAACAAATCTGATCATTTTATGTTCAATTTTAAATCACTTTATGCTAAATTAATTTTGCTATTACTGCTGGGTTATCGTCACGAAAATCTTGTTCGCACGACAGCAACGTCGCAGTACATGTGCACCTGACCTTTGTCGGTATTCGTCTCGTCTACGACCTCTATGATACCCTTGTCACACATGTATTACACCGTAAAAGGAATTGAATATTACACAAAAATAGGTCATGGATTAAAAAACCCATAGAAACCTTGACTAACACGGCCTGAGGCGGTTGGTTAGGTGAACTTTAATATTAAAGCAAAAAGCTGCTACTAGTGGTAAATTTAATTAGTACCAGACACTTCCCAACCGTTTACCTAAGTTAGATTAATGTACTAAATGTTTAATATTAAATAATATATGTTACTTCTTCATTTACCCTTAATTTATTACATGTTTTTGTTTAGAAACAAAACGCTATTTCACAGATTGATTAGTATCTGTTCACACATATTGATTATCATGAAATTATCTCTTAATTAAAAAATACAGTAAGAGTAACTTTAAGTTAAACAAGTTCATATTTTAATAGTTACAACGTTCGACCCATAATGTTGAATCATCATCAGGTAAGAGCTACAATCATGTAATTCTTGCCTGATAATAACTCGATACTATGGGTCGAAACGTTGGAGCTATTAAAATAAGATTTTTTTTCTTGTTATAAAAGTTAGTTATTGTATTTTTGAATTATTTGTCCAGTTCAGTAGATTCCTCGCGAAACAATTTCTCTTAAGTCCTTCGTTGCAGTAAAGAGTGAAAAATCGATTCGAGGACAATAGCGTAACAAAGGATTTTGTTGCCGTGACATTAAAACGCTTCCCGTGTTTGAGAATATTTTCCCCTCAATTCCAATATTCAAAATTTCAAATACCTATTTTTGAGAATCGTCGGCTTGAACCCTTGGGCAGCTGCCTTACTACGCCACTGTTCAAGAAATATGTATCGACGCACTAATAAATATTATATTTTCAGCAACATACCTTTGCAATAATAGTGTACTTTTCTCTCTTGTAAGTGTAAGATGTTTCATTAAATTAACTACTTTCTTTCTTCTCATTTGCTTACTGTAACATAACCGTCTGATACTATCTCCCTTCCACCCTTCACTCCCAATAAATATATACGTATTTTGTAAATTTCAAATTATTTAATCATTCACCACACTGTGTTCACCTTACTCTAATGATCTAATCAAAGCTACTACTTCTCAGGAGTTGAAATTGCTTTAGAACACTAGTACAATTAAAAAATATTACTTTAGTGTTCTTTGATAAATGTACTTGTAATATTACAATATCACTGAGCAAAATATTTTATTAATTGTTTAATAGGAATATTTGCATATTTGAACTACTTGGAGCCACGTACAAAACGAGAAATTTTAGAATGCCTTATTAAAGGACTACAGAGACTAGAATATCGTGGGTATGATTCGGCAGGTAAGTACATAAGTTCGAATATAAATTGAGGTGATGTGTTGAATGAAATAGGAGTAGAAAGTGTATAGTAATAAAGTTTACTATTGGTAAAGGCTAAACGTACTTTGTCATTTTGATTTCGTTATCGTAATACCCTAAGGTGGTTCTTTTTCATATAGACATTGTTACATTGCATCAGAATTAGTAGATGTTGACACACTTTTGATGAATTTCTATATTTTTTTGGGTTTAAAAAGAAGTTGAAAGATATATAATTTTAAATCCTGAGAAATACATTTTCAATTTAAAATATAGAAACCTGTATCAGCTAAATTATTACAAAAAATCCATATGTTATTATTTGAATCATTTGAAAAATGGGTTAAAGATTGCAAACACAGCAAAGTAATATTTTACTATTTTTTCACGATCAGTAGTCTGTGCTTTTATGATAAGTAAAAGAAATTAGTAACAATATTTGAATTAAAAAAAAATTGAAGAAAGGTTTTCAGTAGTCACATTTAGATTTGAACATATAGTTTTGATCACAGTAAAATACTTCATTTGGTAAATAGCTCATACAAACTGCATGGTTTTAGCCACAGTTTTTACTTAAGTCTATCATTTAGTTTCATTGTCTGGGACAACTTCTAGAGAAGTTTTCTACTCAAAATGGTTAAAACTATCCATGTTTCAAGACAGTCAATTATAAGGGCTACTGGTGTAGTAGTTAGAAAAATGTTAGTGCAAGTTTCTGAATTTGATTAGTACCCTTCTGAACAGGATGTGAATAGCCTTAAACTTGTATTAATCCTTGCCTTTGGCTGGGGTTAAATACCACAGTAATTGTTTCATAGAGCTCATACTTACACCTGGCCAAGATTCTGTGTCAATGCTAATCTGGGCTGTGGGTGGTAAAGAGGTCTGAATAAGTTAATATGAAGTGAGGGGTATTTCCACATGTTGAAAATGTATAATGGAAATGGTTACCGAAGTAGTTAATATAAGAGTTGATTGAATAAAAGTGTGGCTTATCTTGCTATTGTGTGTCTGGTGCAGATATTTTCCTAACTTTATATAACTGTTAATGCTTGACTGAACATAAAAAATGGAAATCTCTAGCTGCCTGTGTTGTATGAATAAAGATTTTGTGTATGTTTCCTTCATTTTTCAGGTCTGCTTCTTATTGTTGATTATTTATAGATGTCACGTTGATAATCAGCATACCTGAATTCTACACTAAATTATTAAATGCTAATTGGTACCTTCATGGAGGATTTGTTTTTGGAGTTTGTTGTGAATGTGCTTTGTTCTGTTTCACTGATGTTACTGTAAACTTTCTAATCTGTGACAATGGAAATACACTTTTTGAGAACTTATAGGAGGAAGCTGTGATTTTAGTAATGATATGATCTGAGTGTGTCAGAAACTGAAAGAGGACTTCTTCTAGATCAAGAGCTTTTACCAGCCATGGCTGTATCCTCAGGATTAAGAGGGAGCTAAGAGAAGCTGTTTAGGGTTGACTGCTACTGGTTACCTCTCATTCAGTAGTGTAGGATATCAAATATAATTCTTGTTGGCTGTAATCAGTTTGAGCAATCTGAGCCCAATTAGGATGGTCTATATTGGGCTCCTTGGTATTTATTGACCATTCTAGGATTTGCCAGGCTTTGGTCAATCACCCATGACGAAGTATGGTGATGGACAAAATGATGTATGGTGGACAAAGTTTGCCAGGAAGATCTGTGATATCATCATACTGAACAGCCAGAGACTCATTTTGATGTTCTAGACCAATAAGGCTTACTGGGGACACTCTGAGACTGCTTTTGGCAGCTGATAGATACACAATACAACAATGATGCATATTCTTAAATGTCTTGGCATTCTACTGCATACTTCACCTGAAGAAAGTATGCGTATATTTTTGGACTTTCGGAATATGAGGGCTTCCTTCAAACACTGAAAGTGTTTCACTTGTACAATGGTAGAGATGCTGATATTAGGTATCTGTCTGCAGAACTATTTTTTATCAGGAAGGTAAAAGAGGACTTTAACCTTATTCTTAAACAGTTCATGCATGTTGTCATCTGGAATTGATGGGTTCAGGTGAAGGTGGTGCAATGTTTGTTGTGAGTTTGAATGGCATTGCAAAGAATTACGTAAAGAATATAGACTTGGAACAATTCAACAAAGGTTGGACCATATCAGACCCTATGGAGAATCAAGTGATCCTTAGTGCTGAGGTCAAGGCTCAGAGACATGATTTGTATGAGAAAACCATTTACTCCGATGATATTCAGACAAAAAGTAGAGCTCTTAATGGATCTAATGTATGGCCATCCATATAGTTCTGTTTCATTGCAGTGTCCACAGAACTATGTTGAGTCGTTGGACTTGCACTTATTTAGATGGGTAAAGCAGCTCATTGTTAAAATAGTATTGGAAATAGAATAATAATGTTTTGAATTTTTTTGTGTTTCTTCATTTCATTAATTGGTGTCTAGTGTTTGTAATATGTAACACTTTCCTGAAAATTGTGAAGTATGCTTTATGTGACAAATAAAATAATTAATTAAAAATTGATATTCTCTTTGCATTTGTTACAGACACAAGCCAAATGTGAGAATTTTAACAGAATGACATTAAGTTGGGATATAGGTGTTTCATAAACACAATTTGTACTTTTAATATTTGCCTCTGAAAACCAAACTTTGTAGTTAAGTTATTTAAGCTAAACATAGAAGTATTAATGAATGTGAAGTGTACATTTATTGCAGCTAGTTACTGAATTTTGTCTTTTATTTTGTATTTTTAAGGTGTTGCTATTGATGATGATGCTGAGGGTAAAAAAACCTCTATTATTCGTAAGATTGGGAAAGTCAAAATGCTGGAGGACAAGATATGGAGTAAGTCAGTAATTATACCAACTAAAATGTCTAGAACCTTTCTCATTGTGATAATTCAGATTTTTGGAAATGTTTGTGGTAAAACTGGGCAATTAGGGGAACTTGTAATTGATTAATTGTTGGGCTCATTAATTAAGTACGTTCAAATGATCAATTATTCTCAGAAAATGGTTAAATGAACCTCATTGATTCTCACTTAAATAGCAAAACACATTGTAATTTTAAAAACCAGGTTTTGATATCTGTGGTGAGCAGTGCAAAGATAGCCAATTCTGTAGCTTTGTGCTTAACAACAAACACAATATAAATATTTTGATTACTGGGATAGTTGGAATAATTAGAAACCCTAAATTTTGATTAGTTGGTTATTTTGATAAAGTGGGACACAAATTAATTTAGCTGAATAAATCTGAATTAATTGAAAATAGTAACGAAAAATCATAATTGCAATATTTCAGTTAATGGATAGCTGTTATAGTCCAAAACAGTAATAATTGGAAATTAATTTTGATTAGTTGATAATTTTCATGACATTAATAGATTTAATTGTAATTTCGTTAACTAGATAATTGTAATAATAGGAAATAGTAATAACCAGAAACACTGGCTGATTATTTTCATGATTGTTAATGGATTTAATTGTAATGTTGATTAACTGAATATTTTATGTAACTCTACCTATGAGCATCGATTAATCCATAATTATGTTAATTGCTCAGCTCTTGTTTTTTAGTGTGTCACAACTTATAATTATTCTTGAAGTGATGCAGGTCTGTTTATTTTATATTTTAAAAATTGGAAAGAGCATAAAATAATGATTTAATTTTATGAAAATATTTTAGGTCTTATGACTTGTTTAAATTTAAAGCAAAATTAAAATCATGGTTTAGTTTTGAGCTAGGTGAAACTTTTCATTTGGTTTTAAACACTTTTAATAACAATGAATTCATAGTAAACATCAAAGTGCTGTTATTTAATTAAATAAAGCTATGTAACGGGCACAGAAATATTATTACAAAACTTAAATAGTTGAATAAAAAAACGTTATCATCTTGCTGGACTTAAAACATAATTATTAAAAACATTTTGACTATTTATTGTGAATACTGTAAATGCAATAGAACTGTGTGTGTGTCATTATTGAAATTTATACAATCATAGGAATCCAATTTGATTTTAATCTGTGTAAATGTTTGTGCATACACACTCGCACACTACATGTCTTAAGGAAGTTTTTAATGCTGTTTTTAATATTTTGTGCATGTATTTGTTACAGTGGATATTTCAAAAAATTTTAAAACCAATGATGTAATATCAGAATTACTCAAAAAATAAGTGTACTACAAATTTTAAAGCACTAAACCTGTTTCATGTTTAGACATTAAATACAATTCATCATAATAAACACTGTGTACTTATCAGTTTTTCTTTCATACATTAACCATAGGCAGTAAATGGTACAAAAATGGGGTTTACTGGTCCTTATTTGATTTCTTAGGTCTTGGAAACCTTGACTTTTACGAATCCTTTAACACTCATGTTGGTATTGCTCACACACGATGGGCAACACATGGTGCCCCAAGTGACTTAAACAGCCATCCTCATCGATCGGATGAAACAAATGGTAACAAAACTTTTTCAATAATTAAAAATTAAAATCTTCAATTGTATTTGTTCAATCTAGCATATGCATAAAAAGCTGGTTTTCATGATACATTGAAAAACTTGTTTACGTACTTTTTAAAATTGTTCTATTTCTTGAATTCTTACTAATGCATCTGATCTGTTTACTATGAAAAAGACTGCATGTCAATATGTTCTCAGACTAAACATTTATTGTAGCATAATATTTATAATACAAGTTATCATTACCTATGTATTTGTTTCAAACATTTTAATTATCTGTTGCTTGATTATGATAGATTAAGCTTTTTCATTCACCTTAAGAGTTTTAAAATTTTGGTTTTTTTCTCTTAAAGTCTTTTCTTTTAATCACAGTATTAATTTATTTCTAGTCATTTTATGTATACAAAACTGTAGTTGGATGTAGCATACACTTGTTTTATAGTTTGAAGGATGTATAATACTTGATCAAGCATTGGTTATAGTAGCAAAAAAAAGCCACTTTATATGCTTTCTTAGTTACTTTGTTGCATGTGTAGCCTTGGCATATAAGATATGATTTTAAAATTGTAAATACTTTTTTAATTTATGGTTATGTGGATTGCTATCATTACAGTTTTTCTTTGATGCATAAGTGTACTGCAGGTGATGTTTGATATTAATTATTTTGGATGTTTCAGAATTTGTCGTTGTTCATAATGGCATAATAACTAACTACAGTGACATTAAACAGTTCCTGGTAAGTTTTACTTCATACAAAAGGGGATGACTTATTTATTGATTTAAATTCACATTTACAAATTAATCAAATACATGGTGGTCTTTTTGTATGTACACTGTGGCAGTTAACTATTTAAAAGGTATAGTAATTGTGTTAGTATTCATAAAATATGAACAGATGTAATACATAATTTCTTTTAAGTGAAATGTATAACTTCAAATAAAATAACTAAATATCTAGTGGTGTCCATAAGTTTTCTATGGAAGAATGATACAAAGCTTTGAAGAATGACTTCTAAGTCATGAAACTGGTCTGATTCAATTAGAATAAAGACTTTACTATTTAAAGAGTGCCTATTCTTCAATTTAAGCTGTAAAGGAAACAAAGTAATTATCTTTGAAAATTAAAAAGTAAATAAAATGGAGCCATGGTCTACAAGCAGTTGTATAGATAAAAAACTTAATCAAGTATTTATATGCTGTTTTGAGTCTGCTTACAGTTAGGATTATGATAATAATGAAAAAAGAACTTTTAAACTATTACTGATTGTTTTAAAAGTGAGTCATAAAAGTTGTCAGGCTACTAATTTGCATTGTCAAAAGTGCTTTACTAGCAAATACTAGGGGGATTGGTTTAGTTCAGTTGACAGAATATTCATCTGGCATGTAACAGGCCTTAGGCTCAAATCCTAGGCAAAGCAGTTACCACATTGGTGTGGTATTCTTTCTTTTTCACAGACAAAGCCCATTCTCAGACCTAACTTCAAGGTCATGGGATGGTAATTAGTTTAGCACTAATGTGGTATTTTAATTTTTTTTTTCATATATATTTCCTTATCTTAGATTTGAATCCAAGACCTGCAACATGCTGAGTGCTCTACCAACTGAGCTAAAGGGCCAGTCTCTTAGCACTTACTAGTAAGGTACTTTTAACAACTCAGTATACAGTAAGGGTAACAGCACAGTATTTTTATTTAAATTACTTCTTTCTCCTTCTATACCTTACTTGATGAGAATCAAGCAAAAAACTAAAATATTAAATTGAAAGGAGTAATTTAACATCAGTCTTAATACTCTGAATTATTTGTTTAGAAGACTGTATTCATATGATGCTGTTTTAATTTGCAGCTGAAAAAGGGATACAAATTTGAATCAGAAACGGATACTGAGGTCATAGCAAAGTTAATCAAACACATACATGATGATCATCCTCATTTATCATTCAGGGAACTTGTTGAACAAGTCATACAGCAACTGGTAAGAAAGCATAACTGGTTTTATGTTTTTTTTGTTTGTGTGTTTTTTATGATAGTTGTGTAACTTTTAAAATTAGTTTAAACCATGGACACTGAAAGTGCTATTAATAAGCAGACATTTCTCTGATGTTTAAAAACATTTTTGTTATTCTATTAAAAACAACTTATTCTAAATATTGTCATATAATTTTTATTAATCGTAAAAGCAAAACACTGGTACACAGGATATGTTTATAAAATGTTGTTTACACTCCAAAAATCTGTTTCAGCTAATTTATGTGTGTTTGGAACATATATCAATATATTTCTTTGATCCTATAATTGGGCTGTTCATTTTATAAATTTGTCAGCAAACGTTTTAAAAGTGTAACAATTTTTTTTAAAATTCTCCAATGAAAATAAAGTGAAATCTTCAGTACTACAATCCTTTAGAGCTTTTTAACATAAAAATAAAAACCAATAAAAGCAGGAAAATTATACTTTATTTACCCTAGAAAATATATATTAAGATTTTTTAATCAAAAAGTTATAATTTTTAGGAAGGTGCCTTTGCATTGGTTTTAAAGAGTACCAAATACCCAGGCCAATGTGTCGCAACAAGGTGAGATCTTTTAATCATATAAAAAGATTTTCTAAGGAAATAACATGACCAGGAATAAATGTTTCATTTTAATGATATCCTAATATTTATAACATAATAGAGTTTTTGATGTAAAAGTAATCAACTGTTTTAAAGGTATATGTAGTTTGAAAAGGATCCATTTTTAAAATTGTACATTTCAGACTCGAGTGTTGAAACAATATTTAAAAATTTAAGCTGCTGTCATTCCAGAAATAAATCGAATGATTTTAAAATATCAAAGCTTATGATAATGGTTTATAGATCACTATGATCAAGCAAGATATCAATTAGAAATTTAAAACACCAAATAATATCTCAATTTTTTTTCATTAAGAAGGTTTCTTGAAGGATGAGTAAATGAAAATTTTATAATATTTAGAAATATTTGACTTCAGAAACTCTCATTCATTAACCATTGTCATTCTCATGCTCTCTTTCTTTTAAGTCATAGTCACTTACACAGGAAAAACTGACCTAGTATACCTAATGAACAATTTAATACATTCATTGAAGTAAATGTTGTGAATACTTAAAATATCCAAGTTGTGAAGGTTTGTAAAATTTCTGCAATGAGCAGTAAGAAACTGTACAGCTACAGTTAAGAGAAGATTATAAATTCACACCTATTGCTTACAACAGCTGGATTTTATCTTGTTTATTTTTTGTAGTAGTGATCAATGACTTGCATAGCTGTAAAGAGGAAAAAGTTGTTAATACTATGTGATATACAGGTAGAATGATTGTTAAGTCTACAAAGGGTAATCAATGTAACTTTGATTCATAGCAAATGGTTGTTTGTTACTTAAAATAACATTTTTTGATATGCACTTACCTTTGTTTCTTCTCTCTCGTTGTGGTTTTTTGATAATTTGGGTTACTTGGTTTATGATTCAGGCGTGGTAGTCCTCTGTTGGTGGGAATTAAAAGTAAAACCACCCTGGCAAGTGACTTCATTCCTGTTCTTTTCAGCAAGGGTAAGCTTGTAATTGTTTACTGAATTGCAGAATAATCAGTATCTCAAACACCTTTTGAAGTATATATCTAATTATAGTATTATCTATAACTTTTCAACTTAATAGAGACAAATATGAGATAGATAAATAGTGAAATAAGGAAATGGTATCTGTATATTGTATAGTGTACTGTGCTGTAAAGTTTTACTGTTTCTTTAGTGAGTTTTTTTTTTTTTTCAGGTTAATGTGAATTAATACTTTATAATGGTTCTGGAAAACAAGTGCTAATTTGTTGCTAGACTTTTGTGTTAGTGCAAGTTTATGTATCTGCAGTATAGTAATCTGGAAATGTAGAAGGGTTGCTTAGCAACTTGATAAACCATTGATTTCAAGCTTTATCTATTTGAATGATTGTTATGATAAATTATTTTCTGGAGGTTAGATGTTTACATAGGGAATTTGTGGCTTAATTCCTGCATATAGTGGTCTTGTTGTACTGCAATGTTTTTTATTACAGTGCAAAATTGATAAATTGACTGTATAGTATCATCAATATAATAAAAATTACTGCTCTTTTTTATTTTTCTACTGTACTACTATTACTACTAGTTGTACAGTAGTTGTTTTTATGTGCAGTTGATGATGTATGTTTGCAACGTGTGATAGCTTCTTATCCATAGCATAATTGCCATCTTTCTTATTTTTAGGACTAACCCTGCTCACTTCAGTGTCTCTGTCTTTTTACAATATCTTGGTAAATTACTTTTATACTATTTCAAGCTCTTAATCTACTGGGTGAGCAGTTACAGTGAAAAAACATGCATGAGAGTATGCTACATTAATTTTATAAGCCAGCTTTTAGCTATTTGTTGTTGTCTTTCTTGGGCTCAACTGAATAAAATTTTTAAAAGCAATTAGCTAATATCAACAATGTAATGTGTGTATCACAGAAGTATGTGAAACACATGTATTGTTATACAGCATTTAACAAGAAAAATATATGAAATACTACTTTGAAATGAAGCTGTAACAATTCCTATCTGACATAAATCTAAAAACCTAATTATTGATAAATATCAGAAATATTTACAGAAAAGAGGCTTGAAGATATCCACATCAAATCTTATAATTCTTATGAGAAAACATGAGAGTGATGAAACCTTTGAGCAATTAATACACACAGTTGTCTCTAGTGTTGTTCATACACTAGTTTACCCTCTATTTGAACTTTAATTGTATCTTCTAAATACTTAAACATGATTGATCATATACCAATTGGATCACGTTGTTCATTTTTTTCATACTTATTAATCTGTAGGTTATTAATTTTATATTGAATATTGTAGATTTATTTCAGATATGTCATATTTTCATGTCAGTTTTTTTTTTCTCCATAAATTGATTCCTCATTAATTGTGAATATTAAAAAAAATTATGAAAGCTAAAGAAAAAGTTAATTGCTAAATAAGAAACTTAATAGCCTGAGTACTTATGGAGGTTGCCTCCCAAATTATCAGATTTCTTATTTCCTGAGTAACTTCTTTTACATAGTAGGTCTGGTTATATTTTTCAAACCATTTAGGATAATTTTTTGACCAGGAATTTATATAGTTTTATTTGTATGAACATAAAATAATACACTGAATGACTTGGTGAGATTCTAGCTTGGGAATATACAAATAGTTGCATACATACATATACTCTGAATACTTGTGTTTAATTTGATTGTATATCCTTGTAGTTTGACAAATACGGTATTTTATTAGACGTGTATAGTTACTTTTCCAAGCAATGTAGTATTTATTTCCTCTCTCTCTATTCTAAATAATGTTCCTGTGTGTTTAGAAAATCAAATGTTTATGGAACTTTTATGATACTGTCTTTTATATCAGAAACATATTTTTCTTAAAAAAGCAGGACATTTTCTACTTGACAATGAAGAAGAAATTTTTAATGTTTAGTCTACTACTGTACTGTTTATGTCATGAATTAAATATATTCAATATCCCTTTTTTTGTTAATTTATTTTGTGGGGTAGAAAGTAGCATCAAACTAAACTTGTACATATAACATTTGTTTTTCGATATTTTGTGTTGTATTAGTTATAACACAAATGACTTAGCTGTGTTTCTTTTTAATGATTTAATTGCATATGTAAGATCTCATAGATTAGATTTTGGGGAATTTTAAAGTAGACTTAACTTGTTAACCAGTGTTTATTGTTATTCCCAAATTCTTATACTAGATATCAAAGTTAAAATCATATTTCTTGATGTGATCAACTCTATGAAAATATCATATAGAAGTTCTGTAAAATCCTTTAAGACATCTTAAAATTTTATAATCTAAACTTCAAGTCTGCTGGTTGGGATTTTAGATATTATTGAGGACAGCCAAAAAGTTGTAACTTACTGTTTATAGTGCTTCAAGTTGCTGTTTCTATATATCTTACATGATACAAAATTGTGTTGGGAGTCACTGGATCATGGTTTCTAGTAGGAAAGTTTTATATAAAAGGCAAATTGGAACATTTCATTTCAATCCACTTGTAGAAAATTTTATTATATTAATTAACCATCACCCCACTAATGAAGTTATTAGCACATATTACAAATCTTGAAATATAGGTAGGGGTTAATAATACAAAGTTGTACTGTATAAAATGTCCTTACATTGAATTCAGTGTTTTCTGAAGTAATTTTATGAAAATAAACAGATTAAAAAATCCAGGAAGCATTTTATTTTATGCAAATATCATATTTGAACAAACATGAGAATAAATATGAATTTTAAAAATGAATATACATGACTTAAATTTTGCATAGAGTATAATACCCATCTTGGTAAAACGAAAACTGTTATGTTTAGATTAATCTAAACTAATACAGTATTGTGTATATAAAGATAGATTTAATGAAGAAGAAGAAAAATTTCTGATATTTCAACTTATAATAGGCTTTTGTATTCAGTCTCTGTTCATTTTGTTATGCATTGTTCACATAGTTGGAATGGAAATTGAACTAAACATTTGCTAATGTAACTTTAAAAAATATTGCATCAATTCTTGTATCTTTTCTTCTCCTTTGAAAATGTTTTTTGAAGATATGCTGTATCTAAAGAAGCTGTATTTGTACCATCTTTATCTTTTAATCATGGTTTTAGTAAAAAAAAGCAATTATGCTTTTATTGTAAACACATTCCATTTTTGACAGTTAACTAGGACTAAGAAATATCAACAGTTTGGCATTTGCAATCTTAATTGTAAAACTTGATTGTTTTGTAGACCTTTTATGGTTATTGTATATTGTGCAAAATATGTTCAAAAATAAATTGTTAAACTAAGTGTTTTATAGAAACTTTCAAAGATGTGTAAGGTAGTTTAAATATGTTACATGCTTATCACACATTTCATTTAGAAATATTAACAAAACTGGATTCTTTTAGCTTTAAATTCTATCCTCTGAAACAAATTAATAAGATATTTTTATAATAATTTATGACATGCAGTAGAGAGTTAAAGCTAAAACAGGAAATTTTCTACTTGAGAATGGGGTCGAAACTTTTAATATTTAGGCTATTAGTTTTTATATGAAGAGTTAAATTTAATCACTTTCCTCCTCTAGTTGATAATAATATTTTGTGGGTTAGTAATTAGCTTGAAATAAACTTGTCAGGGCAGTCTTAACAGGTATGAGTGTGACGTAGCTGTACTGAGCCTCTCACTTGTAGAAGCTCTGTGATTGAACAAGGAATTTTTTAACCTGGCATTTTTTAAGTCTGTACTACTGTTGATTATAGTTCTTATTACTGTTGTCTAAGAGCTAAGTTTTATAGTCAAACTTTAGACAGTAGAATCATTTGTCCAATGACAGAAAACTGACATGTGATCAGTTATCACATCTCATGTATCCTCTGTTTCAATTGATATTTACATACACTTATTTAAAGTTTATTTTCTGATTAAATAACTAAGAGAAAAAGCATGTTTCAGATGTTCATTCAGTCTGTAATTTTATTCACAAAGTGCCATATCATGCATGAAATAGTGCTAATAGAACTTCAGGTGTTCTGACTCAGGAAAAATTATTTGGAAAATGTAATTGATATTTGTTGTTGTTGATTTATCATAATTTTTAACAGACTATTATGTTATGTCCCATAAAGATGTATTGAATAATATTTTGAAGCATTACATATTATTAGGTATTTTATTTTGATGATTTTTTAGTTAAAGTTTGCTTTATTAGATTTGTATAGGGGTTTAGAGGTTAGCCATGACCAAAAAATTGCACATCAATTTCACTATTTTCTGCTCTGTCTTCTTAAATATGCACAGGGCCACACACCTACCTACCTTCCTAAAAGGCCACCCCTGAAACTTGTACATGTAACATTTTTTAGTACCTAATGTTATATTAATTAATAACATAACTGATTTGATTGTTCCATGTTTTTGTAATGATTGCACTGCATACGTTTGATTCTTTATAGAGTTTTGGAAATTTTGAATTGGGATTATCTCATTTACAAGAGTTAATTTATTGTTTCTAAATTCTTGTACTAGATACAAAATTTTACATTGTATTTCCTAGGGGGGGGGATCTAAGTAGTTTTAAGCATAATGTATGTTTATCATATTGTACAATTCGTGGGTAGATGAACTAACTTCGCTTCTTATAACAATTAACCTTTAATTTCCTTTATTTGAAAAAATGAGTAAGATATAGCTATAACATTTTATTCAGAGAAGCACATGACAGCGAGTACGTGTAAAATAAGACAATTTTATCTATTGGTTATATTCTCTATTAAGAAAAATTTGAATATGAAATACTTGAAAACCATGTGTGAATTAGAATTTTTTATAAATTAACTATCCTTTAATTATTTCTTGTTCTATTTTTAGTTCTTATGTTCCTGTATATATGGATTAGAATGTACTACAAATTATCTTTGATTTTTATCAATATGTATGTTTGTCTTTTAAAAAACAACAACATTAAATTTAGTGAACCTGATCAACTGTATATAATAATAATAATTTGAAATGTGAAATTTTTGTTTCTTGCATGTTCCTTGTGTGTGTGTTTTTGACCTTTCCTCTCTTGTTCTTCAGACTGCACAGGTAAAAGTTCCTCAGGTATCTAACCTAAATCAATGGAGAAAAATTATTTTTGTCTCTTAAAAATGGATTTCAAATTTGTAATAACAAATTTAACCCATTTGATTCTTGTTTTATAAAGTATAATTTATTGGTTAATTGTTTTAATCTATCTAAAAGTACTGTTGTAATATGTTTTTTCACTGGTTTTTTAAAAATTATTTGGTGAAAATAATATGAAGTCCAGTCCACAAACAATAATGAATTAATTTATTTGTTCAATAACTTTTGCTACAGGCTACGTGTACTTTGACACAAGATGTAGGCCTAAATTCTCAAACTTTCCAACTTAAATTCTAAAATTACTGATGGCTTAATATGCTACTGATATTTACTCATTTGGTAACAAATCTAACTTAATAATTAATTTTCCCCAATCAATCCTCTCTGTCAACAATTATTCAGTCTTTCACACGCTGAATATTTTACTGAATTCTCAATCACTATTCAATAAATTATCAATTCATCTAAATGGAAACACTGAAAACATTACTTGCAGCTGCACTAATCTTTACCATTGGATCTCTTCAGTGTGTATTTGCTTTACATGTTTTCTATCTGTTTTAAACTGTAAAACACATGTTATTAAACAAACGTTAATATTTAACAAGATATTGTTCAGCAAAATAGTTCCTGTTGAGGCATTATCTTCAATTGAAAATGAAACTTTTCAGCATGAAATGATAGAGAAATGTGTTATTTAAGCATAATATTTTATAATAAGCAGTAGGGAGCTAAAGTTGGCTTACTGAAGGTAAAAAACAAACAAAAAAAGCACATAGTGTTATGAACTCGTATAGATTTTTTGGAGCCAAGGATTTTATCATAGTCAGTGATTTATAATAGTGAAGAAGTATGTCAGTTGGTATATACTCAAAATGACTGTATTTACTAATATTTTTTAAAAAAAGATTAATTATGTTTTTGCAAACAGTTTGAAATATCTTAGCCATTAATAATGTGGGTATTTTATACACTGAATTTTGCATTAGGTCATTTTTTTGGTTCTTGTTAATATGGCTACATTTTGGTCTGGCCCTTATAATAATTAATTTGAAATTAACCTGTAGTTTTCTTTTTCCCCGTACATCACATTAGAAAAATAACTAAGAAGCCACCATATACATGTATTTCATATCTTGGTAATAAGAAGGTTGAAGAACATTTTCTCTGAATTGTGTAGTGTGAACTTGCTACCATATAACTGCTGTGTACTAGTTTGAACTATACATATATATATATATATATATATATATA